CTAAAGACAACCACGCGAAAGCGAATTATTCAAATAAAGTTTAATTATATGTAAGTCTCGAAAGTACATAGTTTGTATCAAGTTGACGTTAAACCCTATTAAAGAAAGGAAAAAAGAACATTTTCACGTTTTTACATTAATATATTTATTACCATCTCTTAAACAGGCTTTATGTAAGAGCTGAATATGCCCACTGTGGGCCTTTCTTTGGGCCTTAAATGTTATATTAATTATTAATTAGAGATTTTTATTAACACGACAAGACCATAATCAACCCCCAATTTCATCGAATGGCTCCGTTTTTAGCATGTTCGACCGGTTCATACATTTAATGATTTTATTAAAAATGTAGAAGCGAGGTTAAGACTAGTACAGTGTCAAAACTACAACCATTGATAACGTCGCTCAACATAAAGTAATTTGAATGACATTTTCAATATACATGTATTACAGCGAGAACAACCAGCTCTTGATCTAAATCTTACGTAATGCCCCTTTAATTAAAGAACAACAAACGTCTTTTTTTTATTTGTCACATTAATAAATCATTCTATATATCTTTCGTTATGTAAAAGTGGTATATGACGTGTTTGTACTGAAAATAAGTTGTAAAAGTCGTGTTTAACTGAAATGATAATGATTAATGATGCATGGTTGACCTATGCAAAAACGAATTGTATATTTGGGAACGTTTTAGTTATAAAAAAAAAGAAATCGTATCTTCTTTTTATCAAAAATAGAATTTTAGACTATATCTGCATATTATTTCTCATTTTGATCTTCACTATTATTTAACAAAACCCATCAAAGATTAATATGATATCAGTGTACAATTTCAATTTCTACAGATTATGTATTTTGATAGAAATAGAAGATAAATACCATCAAATTAAACCGAGGCTCAGTGCGGAGTGGGGGGGGGGGGTCCATTAAATGTGCACAAAACCAGATCCATGGTTACGATGCCGATTGGTAATCAGTCCGCCATTGGAGCGGTTTCAAGATATTAGGGGTCAAAGGTCAAATGAGCTTTTTGCACTCAAAGTGAATGCGCAGCCATTCTTGTATCATGAAAACATGCTGAAAATGATCGAAAGTAATCACTCTTTCAATAAAAATGTAAACTTGCTAAATTCACCTTTGTTCTTTGTGAACCAGGAGTTCAAAAGGTCAAATTTTTCGTTTTTGCACTAGGAAGATTTAAAGCAATAAAATGTCAGCGTAAAATATAAAAACTAAAGCGCAACCTGTTGTAATTAAAGATACATTATGGGAGATTAGATAAAGCGCAACCTATAATAGTTAAAAACAACTAGATAATGTAAAGGGAATTTGCTGAAAATTTCAGTCAAATTGATCAACTCTTAACCGAGTATTTAGCGATTGAAGTTTGGGCCTACCCTCGATCATTATTACTAAACTCGGTACGATAAAAACATAGTCTCGATTATCCATTTTTGATTTAATCAGAAGCAACAGATCGGGTTCTAATCCAGTAAATATCGCAGGCTAGCGATGCCATCAAGAGTTGATTATGGTCTGGATAAGTTAATTAAAGTCGAATTAATAATTTAGATAACATTTCGGGCATAAAGAAAGACCCACAGCAGATTTAGGCCGTGCATAATGTATGTTTAATAATAGGAACATTTAAAACTTATTTAAAAGTGGTCTTAGCACTGTACATTTACTTTGGAACGTCGAAAAAGATCTTACATAACAGAACCAAAACACTTCGAAACCTGTTCCCAAAATATGTAAATCTCCCCGATTTAGTTTAACAACGATTGTTAAAGAAACTAGTTGTCCGAAAAACAATTCAATAGTTTCATGGTTGGACTCCATTGGACAACATTACAAAGCAATTGTATATATTTGTATATTATTTTATTTATTGTATATGGGGGTTTGATGGCCGAATGGTTAGCACGTGCGTGCTGTATCATAAGGCCTGTCATTGAGTCAACTGGCGTGGTTTCGAATCCCCGGTTGTACGTGACAAGGAGTTGGGTCGCCTGTCCAACCTCGTGGGTTTTCTCCGGGTCCTCCGGTTTCTTGCCACTGCTAAAGACCCCTAAGGCGAGAATAAAATGAAACCATATGTTATTCCCGAAATGGCCTAGTTTGTGACGAGTGGACGTTAAACCCCATTTCTCTCCCTCTCTCACTATTGGGAGGCTGACACATTATTGACTTACGGATTTTATAGTTAACTTGTTATGTTCCACTTGGCTAAATTTAATCTTACATTGCGCACTAAATGAGTACCTTCAATTATCCAAGGCATACAACCCAATCTGCTGAACAAAAGTCACATAGCTTATATATAATTAGTACTTCTGTGAGTGAAGGGGCGCACACTTTGCTTTTAATATTCTCTCAGAATCGACTTGCATTTTTGATACACACTTGCAAATCGTTCACATAAATATTAAACAGTTATGGGATTAACACGCATTCCTGTTTGATGCCGATTTTTGATTTTTGGTTTCGAAAGTCCATTGTTGGGTTTAGCTATTGCTATACATTTCCATGTATATCATGCGTAAGTAAATGTCATTAGGACTGTTCAATTATAGCTGTTGGTATTGTGTTAATTAATCTCCTACTGTCTAAGATTTAATGTGTCTAAGATAGGGGAGATAACCATAATATTATCGTTCATGATTTTAATATTGCTTAAATATTTGTAAAACGCTGAGCATTTCGAGGGGATATATTTATTAGACAACCCAACGTATATTCGCAAAGAATTCCACAATGTATTGGCATCTCATTTGATTGTCTGAAAAAAAAAACCCACTTCGCGAACTAGATTCTCCGACATTGAAGTAGGACGCTAAACCTCATTTCATTTCATCTTATTTCATTACTTTCCCGTTGTATTTCTATGATTACAGTGTCACTTTGTAAAGCTTCCTTGAACACGTTCTATGAAAGGGCGCTCTATAGACGAGCCAGGCAGGCGGGCGGGCGGGGGGGGGGGGGCTGTCCCCAAAAATTTCGGGCAATCTGACTTTTTCGGACAGACGGGTAAAGTGAAAACAACAATTATTATTTCAACTAGTTGGCAAAAAAAAGTGCCCGAAATCTAATAAAACACCAATTTTACTTTTCTTGTAATTGAATACCCCAAATTTGTACTGAATTGACTATGAATTAAAACATTTTGTCTGGAAACACTCTACTTTGTGCGACATTTTCGGGCATCGATTATTATTTGTAAATAATGTGGGATTTCGGTTACAAAACCATTGGACAACTTTGGAGTTGCTTAACTCACGGGCTAGAATAGCAGAAAAACGCACTTGCGACGGTTGCATTTTCAAAATTTTCTCCAGGAGGGCGAGGCTCCCACACCCCGCGAAGATTGGTTGTTTGTTTGTGATTCGGGTCAGCATTGGACCACATTGAAGTTGCTGTATTCAACGGCTGAAATAGCTGGAAAACGCGTTTGCGGCAGTTAAATTTTTTAAAAGTTTCTCCTGGCGGTCCCCTGCATCCAGGAACTGTAAACCATAGATTGGTTGATTGGAATTCGAGGCAGCCAGGAAGGTTTGTTAGACCATTTTGAAGTTGCTCTATTCACGGTTGGAGTGGTAGAAACCCGCGTTTGCTGTCGTCAAATTTTTACAATTTTTTATTTTGTGGCGGGGGGTGGGGGGTGGGGGGTGGTGGGGGGGGTCTGCCCCCCTCCAAACAGTCATCAAGCCCATACACCTATGTCTATAAAATGAAATGAAACGGGGTTTAACGTCCTACTGTTCTGCTCCTATACTGGGCTAATGAAGACGGGCATACGCCATACAGTGTGCTATGAGGAATATTTTGCCCTACTCTTATATCGAATTCCAACTGCCAAGGGATCTTTTACATGCATTCCAATGTATACACGGGACCTCGGTCCTATGTCTATAAATATGCTGCAATAATAATAAGAAGAAATAATAATTCCATTATTATCTACTTCTGAACATTAAATATTGTCATGCTTGCTTTATCAGGTGAATTAAGATCACATATAGATTTTCAATATACCAGTGTTGCGCTATTTCAACCTTTTTCTGGTCGGACATATTTTACCGAAATAAAGGGACATAACTCTCATCGTTATGGAGGCAGACCACCATTAATTTCCCCGTTGACTTCAATGTTAATTCGGCCTCTTTGCCCACCCCAACTTTTCCCCAAATTTTCGTTGGGCTGAATGCTTTTCACTACAGACAGAAGAACAAATGGTCATGCCTTTGCACTCAAATTTGTATGAGGATGACCACCAAAATTTTGAGAAACACAAAATTGAAGAAGCACACTAAAAACATGCAACTAGTTGCCGTAAACATCACCGTAGCCAACCTGATAACCCCGTTATCCTCCCGCCTCAAAATCATGAATATTTACCAAAACCTGGCAGAAAATGTTAATTCAAGCCCTCTTCGTCCATTATAGACCAAAATATCAACAAAAATGGACATGAAAAAGGGTAGAAAAGAGACAGAGAGAGAATTGCTATAAATTTGTACCAAGATGGTGAAATTTAATGGCGATCTGCATTCTTATACTATATATCCTGTAGTCCATAAGTGATTGGAGCCTTTTGGGTTTCTTGATTATAATAAAAATGCAATTTATTTGAAGAAGGGAGGCTTGGATAAAATATCTTTAAAAAATGCTGACTTAAATGTAATGTCCTTAAAAATGCTGTTACTGTCAAACCATCACCGCATTTGGAAAATGGGATTTTCGGGAGTGTTTTCTAGTCGTTAGAATGGGGCAAATGCGTTGGCGGGCACGTAAAAGAACCACACTTTACAGTTGTAATTCAAAATACGAATATTTACCGCTATCATCCGGAAGAATTACCCTTCATTTGCCCGGATGGGGCTATGTAGCACGCTAAAGACAATTTCCTTTCATTTCATTTCTGGATAATCATCACAAATAAGGAAAAAAGGGGTATCATATAGTAAATTGAATTTTAATACAATTATATTGCACTTTATTTTGCTACGAAAATATAATAATAATGGTAGGGCATTGCACTTATAAATAAAATCATAAAAACATAGATTACATTATATGGCCTACTTTACACTTATCAAAATATATCACAATAAAACTCCGATTTAAACAAGGTCAATGATAAACGTTTCTGTCAAGTTTAATCATGGATTTCAATATCTTCTACTGTAGGATTCTGTAATTAAGATGGAAATGAAATTAATATAGTAATTGAATTGTTTTTTTTATTTTTATGTATTTTCGATTTTAATTTATTTTCGACATAGCTCCCGGCCATATCCCTTATTGAAAGCCAACAAACACGGATATAATCATTATTTCAATTTAAGATGTTGAAAAATACATGCTTAACCTAGATTCGTAGACGTATTGGGCCGATGTTCGCGCCCAATGTAGTCATTTTACAAAAGAAGTCTGTGGGTTCTGTTGATATTGTTCTATACATTTACCAAGATTAAAAGGAGTGCAAGCAAGCAAAAATGAGTATTATATGCAAACTAAAACTAATCCGATAACAAAAGTGTGTCTAATATTTATCAAATCTAGTTTAGTGGCTATAAGTTATTGATTCTAGATTTTATATTACATGATGTAACCTGCATGGCGTTAGTTTATATTATTTTTGACCTATATGTCTTAATGTCTAATGTGAATTCTTTAACTCGAACTTCTATCCCTTGACATCGATTATCGATTATCTAAGCTACAACTTTTGTTCTTGATTTAAGCAATATTTATTCAGAATAGTTATATGCAATCGTATATAAATAATAAAGGGAATAATATAAATAACCGAATACAGTAACAAACAACTTGATACTTATTATATAAAACTGCTTCCAGAATACCGTGATAGATACAATATTAATGAGCTGGCAATTTAATAAAATAAGAATGCTTATCTGTATTAAGCTTTTAATGGAGGTATGAAGAAAAAGGAGTGAAATACAACATCAATTGTAATAAAAATGAAAGAGGACGAAGAAGAAGGCGGAGATATAAACATTTGGAAGGGGGGTGGGAGAGAAAGTTCTTGTCCTTAGTTCTTTTCTTCGTATTAATAAAATCAATACCCATTAATCCTTAATTGCGTAGGATTTGTACGATATATAGAGCATATATATTTGTATATCAAATTACGACATTTACTTACGTCCCTGGTTTGTGAAACGGTGGTCTTGGTTGTTTCTCCATAGTTGCCCTTGGTTTTCAAACCCTTGTCCTCGGTTTCTAAAAGCCCTTTGAGCCATTAAATCTAAAATAAAAAAAGCAAGAATAATCAGGATGCCCGTTGTTTAACACTAAAGGGGCACTAGGTACGATTAGATAAAGGGTTGACAGAATATGCTGCAAATTTCAGTTAACGATTTAATTTTAGGATAGCATTGCTAACCTTGGTACGATAACAAATAAAGTCTCGATTATTCATTTTTACGTTAAATTATCCATCACAAAATGTATTCAAATGCATTAAATATCGCAGGCTAACGATGGCATCGAGAGTTGATTATGATTAAGATAAGTTAATTAATGTCTAATTAATAATTAGATAACATTTCAGGCATAAAGAAAGACCTACAATAGGCAGATTTAGCTCTTGCATAATGTATGTTTAGACTATAATAAATAAGATGTCGGAAATGAGAAACCCATCAAAATATTTGAGATAAGAGTTCTATATGTTACCGGAAGTTGTCTGTCTTTGATTAAACCACTGCCCACCATTGTTTTCTTGGTTACCCCATCTGTTATTACTGGTAGGTCTGTATAATGATCTTTTATATCCTGTAATAGAAGATAATTTATATTGTAATATACTCTTCAAAAAAAGTAGGGGATATTCAGAAACAATACAAAACTGCGGAAACACACTGCTGTTTTTATAAGAGGTAACTAGTGCATGTTAATAACAGGTTAATTACCTACACGTGAACATAAACAGTTCATATGGGCGGCTTATCTGACGGCACCATATCACTCGCAAATAGATACACTGTCAAACGTGAAAATGGACGTTTTTGATTTTTGTCTTAATAATGAGTAATTGCTCCACCAATCTTCGGACATTCAGCAATTCATCGTGGCATGCTCCTAATCAATCGTCCAATCACGATTTGTAGCAATCGGACCCACTCCTCTTGCAGTGCCACGGCCAATTCTTGCAGTGTTGTCAGTTGACGTCCCAGACATGCTCTATAGGGGAAAGGTCAGGACTCATGGTGAAGCTGGAGGTAGTCATTCACGACACGAGCGCGGTGGGCACGGGCATTATCATCTTGAAAGATGAAACGTCGACCTGCACGTAGAGCAAAGGGCAGAACTATCGGTAGTACACACCAGTGACCCTTCCTTGAACAATATGCAAGTCCGTTCTGCCAGTCATGGTGATTCCTCCCCACACCATAACAGACCCACGCCCGAATCTGTCATGCTGTCTGACGTTAACGTTAGCATGACGCTCATTTACACGCCTCCAAACGCGAGAACGCCTATCGGTGAAATCCAGAGTACATCTGGACTCATCTGAGAACATTCCCAATTTCTACGCTGCCTACACCATTGACGCCTGTTTGCCATGTGCTGGCAAGTTAATGGAGGCACAACACGCGGTCGTCGCGCATGGAAATGGACTGGATGTAGCCGATTTCTAATCGTTTGGGGTGTAACTCGAATTCCTGTAACTTGGTACAAGTTTACAGAAAGCTGATTGTCGGTTTGTCCTCGATTTCGCAGGACCTGTGTACGAATGTATCGATCCTTGGCTTGTGTAATGGCTCTAGGACGACCTGAACGAGGTCTATCATCAACATTGTGTGTTTGTTGTTACCGGTTCCGCAGTCTGTTGATCACAGACTGTGACACATTAAGCATGTTGGCTACTGCTCGCTGTGTAGAACCCATTTGGAGCATGCCAATAGCACGTAGACGTTTATCATGTCGAAGACGTCTCATTGCAAATTAAACGTAACACACTAAAGCAAAGACACGCTAAACAGTAAGTCTTATGCAAGAACCGATAGGAAAGCAAACATGGATAGAATAAACCAGCACGTGGCAGTTTTCATCAACCCTTCCTTGAAGTGTCAAATTTGACAATGAACCCCTCCCCGTGTACGGCGCTATTGCGTGTCGCACGTACAGCCCAGTGGTTCTGTTGGAGTGATAAGTTCTTCATCTGTGAACATACTCTCAAAGCATGTCAAGTGTCCATGACTATTTATCATATCACAACCTGCATATGTATTTGCATTTCAATATCCCCTACTTTTTTTTGAAGAGTATACATTTATATAAAAATGCATGTCGCTAAGAATATATATCCAGAAGTCTGATAGTCTAGTATCAACCTACAATAATCATATAAAATAAATTTTGCTGAGAAATATACACTTTGCTATCAACCCACTTTAATTATATTAAAATTCTGAATAATGCCGCTTCATGTAATCTCTCCAAAGGCACTTTGACTGCGTAATATATTATATATTTTGCATTTTAATTAAAGGAATATTGACGTATATCATCGTGAAATATTACCCGAGCTACAGAAAGTATGACTCGTATAGCAGCTGCAGTATATTCAATAAAGAGATGACACAGTAAAATTGACTGGGGGCCGATAGTTTTTCGACAAGGATCCAATAGGACGGTTCCTGAACGTACAGGGCGAGTGTATTGAGACCTACATTCAAAGCTGAACTAACTGTAAGGCTACTCTGTCGTGTTTTGGTGTTCTGTAATAGGTAGTTATTGTAGTGATATATATAAATTTATAACATCAGAAAGATATGATATCTTTCCTATTTAATTGTGTTACGTGGGGAAAAGACCACTGTCTTTTTAAACGATGGCAATTTTCCTTCCAACAATTGGAATATAATATTTTGAAATTTCTTCGCAAAGTAAATAGACTTACTTCTGGGTTGAGCAGAAATTTCAGTTGGAATATCAAGAATCTGACCATGACCTCTAGAAAGCTGATCCTTGCCATTTCTTCCAAATTGACCTTGATTTCTGGGAAGGCCGTCGCGTTCCCAGAGACCCTGGCCTTGGTTTCCTTTTACATTGTCTTGATTTCTCCATTGTTGACCTCTAGCGCCCCATTGTTGACCTCGATTACCATTTACCCGGTCTTGATTTCTCCATTGTTGACCCCGGCTTCTCCATAAATCTATAGCATTAAATATTAATAGTTAAATAGACTTAAATAAAGCCCCAATGTGATACTAGGTCAGTAATCATTTTCCTATTTCAATTTTAAAATCAAAATAAAGTTGAAAACGGCTCATTTGATTATAACCAAATTATCACCACCCCCCCCCCCCCCCAAAAAAAAAATAGGTTAGATATCATTTTGAGTCTCATGTACTAGAATATAAATTAATTTAACTTCAATCTGGGTAAATTTATGAACGTAAACGAAGTCTTGATTTCCAGTCCTCCAATCATCGTCACCGTGAGTGCTACTATATTATCGGTTATAGTAGATTGTCTAATCCACTAAATATTTATGGTTTGAAGAGTTGATAATGGACTTGTCATGTGAATAAATATCTAAATAATTTTTATATTCTCAGATTTTATTTGCATTTTATTTGTTTTAATTCATTGCAAATGATAATTCCGTTTCTGATTTATCAATTATTTATTTTCAGCATCGCTAATATGCTACACTATTACCCTCAATAAGAGTAGGATGATGGGGCATGTTATAGCAATTAGATCAAGATGGTGTCCGTGGATGACTTTAGATCTTAATAGTAACCACGAACAAATTTCTTTTATTAAATACTTCACGTTTTATAAGTATTATGCTGTTTCCTTCCTAAAAAATATATTGCAAAGTATTTTGCGGAATTCATTTCCTGGACCTATCAGTATTGTTATTAGGTCAGTCAAGTCATGTTTCCTGAATTACAGTGATCGAAAGTCCCACTTAAATTGTTGTCATGGACATCGACAGATAATCACAAAATTTGCTATTTTTCAATAGGAAGACTATATGTTACCGGGGGTTGTCTGTCTTTGATTAAACCGCTGTCCACCATTGTTTCCTTGGTTACCTCTTCCGTTATTTCTGGTAGGTCTGTATAATGATCTTTTATATCCTGTAATATTGTAATAAATAAAGATACATGTCGCTGAGAATACAGAACTGTGGAAGTCTAGTGTCAACCTACAATAATTATATTAAAATTCATAGGCTAAAGTAATCGATTTTTTTTGCCGTAAAATATCATATGTATTGCCTTTTAAATGACCGTATTCTTAATTAATCTAAATTTATCATAGTTGTTGGAATGGTTAAAAATTAGTAAATATTCTTTATGATACTTCTTTCTAAAATCCATTAATATTAACTTTGTTTTAAAAGCAAAAAATGCATAAATATTAACCTTCATTATTTCAATTCATCAATATTAACCTTTCTTATTTCAAATTCATAAATATAAACCTTACTTGTTTCAAATCCATAAATATTAACCATACTTATTTCAGTTCAAATCCATAAATATTAACCTTACTTGTTTCAAATCCATAAATATTACCTTATGTGTTCCAAATCCATAGATATTAAGATTACTTATTTCAAATCCATAAGCATTAAGATTACTTACTTCAAATTTTTAAATTATCCGTACTTATTACACGACGTATAGTCATTCGGGTGGGACTAAAAACCGAGGACCCGTGTACACATTGGCGTGCACGTAAAAGAACCCTTGACAGTTGGAATTCGACATAAGAGTAGGCCGTAGTTCCTATGTCCGGGCAAAATTTCCCACATAGGACACTGTATGACGTTAAACCCCATTTCATTTATTTCCATTTACTCATTTCAAATCTATAAACATTTAAATTACTTATTTCAAATCCACAAACATTAAGATTACTTATTTCAAATTTATAAATATTAGCCTTACTTCAAATCCATAAACATTAAGATTACTTTGTTCAAGTTATGTTAACTTACTTCTAGGTCTAGATGAAAAGCTGGTTGCAATACCAGCAAAATTGTTGCCCTGTCCTCTCCATTGTCGATCCTGACTTAATAAACCACGGTTCCAAAGATCTTGACCTGGCAAGAATTGGCCTTGGTTACGTTTATATTGATCTTGGTTAGGCAGAAACTGGCCTTGGTTACGTAACAACTGGCCTTCGTTTATAAAGCTGCCTTGATTCCGATAATCCTGATTTCTTTGAGCGTAATTGAATTGGGCGTCGGCACCAGAATGCATGCATAAAACAGCACAGGAACCTACGACCAGAGTTAGGATAACGTTCATCCTTGATGTTTAGAACTAAAAGATGAATGGTTTGAAAGTTAAGTCATAATTGAATATATTTTGTATTTATTTCATAATAAGGCATAGCCATTGGTGTCAATAAATTAAAATATAATACGGTAAGGTTATGTGTACACACTTAAATTCAAAATAAAGTAGAGTTTAAAAAGGTAACTATAGAAAGATTAATCAGTCATTTAAAACAAGAATGCAGTAATCATACCAAATACAATACTTACCAATCCGAATCAGTCTAATTAAGATATGCAGGTGAATTGTTGTAATAACAGGTAAAACGAAGGGTATATATACATATTCTGATTAAAAAAAAAAACCAATGACGTCATGCAGATTATTAGGAACTGTAAATATCAGATGAAGGGTGGGGGTGGGGGTGATTGATATAACGGTGTAAAGAGGTCATATCTTGTTGTTTCGTAACGGGATATTCCGCCTTGACAGATACAACATTAACACATGCGACCAGTTTTTAACAACTATAAGTGGACTTTAAAATAATATTACCTGTACAGAGGTTTGATCTACAGAGTTGAATTGTATACACGAAACTTTAATAACGAACCCATTTCATTGTTTAAACAAAGCAATATTCAAAGAGATAGCAATATGCATTTTACTCAGTGAACTGTCCCTTTATGCAGAGAATGACGTGTTGACGAATGAATAATAACGCTAATGTGACAGTTGATCACCGATAAATTATAAAATAAGACTTTTTTTTACATGTTTGGTAGACAATTGCAGGATAGTCTCTAAAACCTCATATTGATTAATCTTCATAATTAACCACGATAATAATAAAATATTTAAAAAATTATATTTCTCAAAACGTAATAGTCGAATAAAAAGAAATATGATTTAACAGGGTAGGTGTTTATAAGATTGCCACCTTCTTAAAGTTGGGTAGATTTTTTATACCCCTTTTCTTCAGAATCCCAAAAGCATGTTTGAAAGAATCGACAAAAAATTAACCAATAAAATCAACGTGGTAACACCCCCGTGGTTCGGGTCTCGCACCAAAATAAATAGTTGCTATCTTTACGGTATAAGGAATACATATACCAAGTTCCAAGATGATCCATTCAGAATTCCAGCCTGTAGACAAAAGCCACAAAAATTGGGCGTACTTCTTTTGGACATGGACCAATATAAATAGGTACAATCCTATGATGAATTATGCCCATTTGGATCAAAATCTGTTAATAGTTGCAAAATATTAACAAATAGTGGGTGTGACACCGCCCAAAGGTTTCGGATCGTGCACCGAAATCAATAGTATCCGTCCCTAATTAAAGTATAAGGAATAAGTAAGAATACCAAGTTCAAAGATAATCATGTCGGAATTATGGCAATCGCGCTAAACACAAACATTTGGCATGGCTCTGTCCCTGGGTATCGGGACATGCGCCAAGATCAATAGTTGCCGTCTTTAGGCTATAAGGAATACATATGCCAAGTTTCAAGGGGATCTGTTAAGAATTGCGGTCTGTGACGACAGTGCCACACACACACACACACACACACAACTTTGGTGAGTCTCAGTCCCAGGGGATCAGGCATGCATCAAATATATTAGAGGCCATCTTTAGGGTATGAAAAATAGGTATGAACAGTTTTCAAGACGACCCGTTAAGAAATGCACCCTGGAGACGACAGACAAATACAAAACAATGGGCGGATCAATTGTGGAATAAATAGGGATCATCTTAAGGTGATATGGAATAAGTATGAAAAGTTTCAAAACGATCAGTTAAGAATCCCCCACACCGAGAGAATTTGTCACATATTTTACCCTACTAAATAACCAGAAAATGCGTCATGGAATAGAAACATAATTTAATATTTAATAGAAATATAATTTAATAGAAATATAATTTAATATTTAATAGAAATATAATTTAATATTTAATAGAAATATTATTTAATATTTAATAGAAATATACTTTAATATTTAATAGAAATATAATTTAATATTTAATAGAAATATATTTTACTATTTTAATAGTAATATATTTTACTATTTAATAGTAATATAATTTAATATTTAATAGAAATATAATTTAATATTTTAATAGTAATATAATTTAATATTTAATGATTTATATGATTTAATATTTAACGATTTATATAATTTAATATTTAATAGAAATATAATTTAATATTTAATATAAATATAATTTAATATTTAATAGAAATATAATTTAATATTTAATAGAAATATAATTTAATATATAATAGAAATGTAATTTAATATTTAATAGAAATATAATCTAATAGAAATATAATTTAGTAAAAATAAAAAAATGATTTAATTAAAATATAATTTAATAGAAATATAATTTAATAGAAATATAATTTAATAAAGATAAGAGTATTCAAATTATTATTTAAGGTTTTGCCTATTGATTTATTTAGCATTATCTCATAATACATGAATTATAATATGAAAAATACACGAGCTCTCAATAAATCATTCTATATATCCCTGTTAATGTCATGGTGATAAATACACTTTTTTGTACCGATTAAGCCTGATTTGCAAAATTATACATATTTTATAAGTTTCCAGTTAGATCAAAACATATCTTGATTGTGGACATGATGTAAAGCGAATTTTCTGAAAATTTCAGTCAAATTAATCCACTCTGAACCGAGAATTTAGCGATTGAATTTTGGGCCTAGCCTCGATCCTCATTACTAAAGTCGGTACGATAAAAAACATAGTCTCACTTTTCCATTTCTTGATTTAATCATGAATGAGCGTTGGGCAGAAGATCGGATTATAATCCAATAAATATCGCAGGCTAGCAATGACATCGAGAGTTGATTATGGTCTAGATAAGTTAATTAATGTCTAATTGATAATTTAGATAACATTTCAGGCCTAAAGAAAGACCTGCAATTGGCAGATTTAGCTCTTGCATAATGTATGTTTAATTGGTTAGCATTATAATAATTGATGTGTATGCATCATGGGAATATATGATTTTGAATTATTAAAAAAATATTTGTAAGTAGGGAACAGCGACGTTAATATGTCGCTACATAAATACACTTTAAGATACATATTTTAACGACAATACCAAATTGATTTTGGATATAATATTCTGCATCGTCTTAATTTTTTATGTGCCATATATTTCCTGGTGAGGAATCATTTGCATAATGTATGTTTAATTGGTTAGCATTATAATAATTGATGTGTATGCATCATGGGAATATATGATTTTGAATTATTAAAAAAATATTTGTAAGTAGGGAACAGCGACGTTAATATGTCGCTACATAAATACACTTTAAGATACATATTTTAACGACAATACCAAATTGATTTTGGATATAATATTCTGCATCGTCTTAATTTTTTATGTGCCATATATTTCCTGGTGAGGAATCATTTGGATATATATATAAATTTTTTATAATACCCTTCATCCCTTGCCTATTTTTGATAACAATCTGGCGACTTTATTATTTATTGTTGTAAATGCTGTCACAATAAAATTAACACAATACTGTCAATCATATTTTCTCTACGTCATCAATCACTTCCTTTACTTACTACCAAAAATGAGATGTAGCCCCGCCAGCGTTTATATTATTTTTCAACATATATCTCTAAAATTTCCTTCTATCTGTCATGTATGATTACCTGTATGACGTCAGTATGGTCATGGTAAGAATATATATATACCTGATGTATTCTACTGGTCATTATTACAATTGTGGTGGCTTGACATCATAATTACCATAGGTAAGTTATAGCTATAACACCGTACCCGTAAATGGTTATCTCATTATTATTATTATTATTATTATTATTACACCCCTTTGAAGCGCACATCAGCCGCATACATGTTTTCATGTGTGTTTTACAGAGACAAATTATATACTCTTAAAAAAATGTAGGTGATATTGAAATGCAAATACCTATGCAGGTTGTGATATGATAAATAGTCATGGACACTTGATATGCTTTGAGAGTATTTTCACAGATGAAGTACTTATCCCCCTAACAGAACCACTGAGCTGCACATGCGATACGCAATAGCACCATACACGTGGGAGGGGTTCATTGTCAAATTTGATACTTCAAGGAAGGGTTGATGAAAACTGCCGCTTGCTGGTTTATCCTATCGGTTCTTGCATAAGATTTACTGTTTAGCGTATCTTTGCTTTAGTGTGTTACGTTTAATTTGATCGGGAGACATGTTCGTCGACGTCAACGTCAACCGACAACACTGCAATAATTGGCCGTGGCACTGCAAGAGGAGTGGGTCAGATTGCCCCAAATCGTGATTGGACGGTTGATTAGGAGCATGCCACGACGAATTGCTGAATGTCTGAGGATTGGTGGAGCAATTACTTATTATTAAGACAAAAATCAAAAACGTCCGTTTTCACTTTTGACGGTGTATCTCTTTGCGAGTGAAATGGGGCCGTGAGATAAGCCGCCCATACGAACTGTTTATGTTCATGTGTAGGCAATTGGCCTGTTATTAACATACACTGGTTACCTCTTATAAAAGCAGCAGTGCATTTCCGCAGTTTTGAAGAGTATAGAACAATACACCATTGCATTCACATGGTAGAATTTGGCCTAATAACGATCCCTGTGGAACGCTGTCAATGTTTACCTTTTGTTCACAAGAAACCCACAATAGTAATTTTAATTCGTTATATAACTTATATTATATGGGTTCCTTGTTTTGTTTTGAAAAACTAAAATACGGCATGGCATATTTCAGATGTTGTTATCCTGTTAATATTTACCAGAATTTCGCGAAACTGCAGATCTGACATCATATTAGCCTAGTGTTGGGCCGCAAGTCTAAAACCATGGTCAATCCATATGGGTAAATTCGAAGAGGCAATTTGGGAAACTCCAAGGCATAACGAGACATAACGCCTAATGTAAACTTAATATAAGTAATTTATCTGTTTTCTGTTACAGTTTCCTGAGTGACAGCAAACATGAACGGCTTCGTTATTTTGTTTGTGTGCGCCTGTGTAGCTCTAGCATCCGGTGCATATATTCCCTTCAATAACCGTTATGGTTATAATCCAAATCAAGATTATTTGACCCAAGGTCAGTGGTATAACAACCAGCCTTATGATACACAAAGCCAATTCATTCCAACCCGAGGAGATTTCTTCCAAAACCAGGGTCGATTCAACAATGGTTTAAATGGCCAGGATCAACTTTGGAGAGGTCATGGTCAGATTCTTGATGTCCCAGTTGGAATTTCTACCAGACCTAGAAGTAAGTTTATTTTCTTTTTGGAAAAAATTCAAAACATTCAAAACACACGTTATATTTCAATTATTTGAAATGAAATACATTTCTATTTATTACAATATAAATTATCTTCTATTACAGGATATAAAAGATCATTATACAGACCTACCAGTAATAACAGATGGGGTAACCAAGAAAACAATGGTGGACAGTGGTTTAATCAAAGACAGACAACCTCCGGTAACATATTGTTTTCCTATTTATATAAACTTTCAGACTATAAACAAAATAACAACATTTTCGTTTAAAAATCAATTCTAACATAAGTTTTGGATGACCATCACGATACTTTCATGTTATTTCCACGCCGCCATGCTGGTCGCATAAGACAGGATTGAAGTAAAATTAATTTATATCCATGAACATGGACTTAAAAATCATATTTAACCCAGGGTTTTGTTTTAATCGTTTACATTATAATCAAATGAACAGTTTTCATCTTTATTGTTTTGTTAAATTTCAATCAAGTGAACACCTTTCAACTTTATTGTTTGTTAAATAGTGAAATGATTACTGACTTTGGATTTAACTAGTATTTATTATTAATTCTATAGATTTATTGGGAAACCAAGGTCAACAATGGGGCAATAGAGGTCAACGATGGGGCAATAGTGGTCAACAATGGGGAAACCAAGACCAGGTATTTGGAAACCATGGCCTTTGGCAACACGACGGCCTTCTTAGAAATCAAGGTCAATTTGGAGGAAATGGTCAGGATCAATTTTCTAGAGGTCATGGTCAGATTCTTGATGTTCCAGTTGGAGTTGTTACCAGACCTAGAAGTACGTTTATTTTCTTCTTTTTTTTAAAAAAATAAAAGACACTTGTCCTTTCACTACGAAACGCAATTTATAAAGGATATCAATAATTTGTTTAGGTTATCAAATTATAAATATCCCTACAATAATTAACTAATTATAGACAGAGTAGAGTTACAGTACACTGTGAATATACTATAGGTTTTATATGAGTCGTAATTTAATAATATTTTACGATGATATACGCCAATTTACTTTTAAACGAAATTGTCTGTGTAATGATAGAAGTTATTTTCTATTACAGGATATAAAAGATCATTATACAGATCTACCAGTGATAACAGATGGGACAACCAAGGTAACAATGGTGGACAGTGGTTTAATCAAAGACAGACAACTTCCGGTAACATATTGTCTTCCAATCTAACACATGGTTCAATTTTATTTCAATAATTCGCTTGCGCGTAGGGGTCTTTATCAGTGGGAGAAAACCGGAGGACTCGGAAAAAACCAACGAGGTTGGACAGGCGACCCTACTCCTTGTCAAGAAACCGGGGAATCTCGCCTGTTTACTCAATGACAAGCCTTATGATACAACGCGCACGCGCTAACCATTCGGCCATCCAAATCCCCGCAAATTTTGTGATTATCTGTAGATAATTTAAATAGGGCTTTCGATCACTGTAATTCAGTGAACGTAACTTGACCTAGTCCACAATACTCTAGGTCTTATAAATAAACGACGCAAAATAATGTATACCCTGCAATTATTCTCGGCACGTAACAAGCGTAGTAGTTATCAAATATAAAGTTTTCAAACTTCCAACTCGTAACATTACTGAACTTCTATCACACTGGGCTTTACATTCAACTAATATAATTTATTAATTCTATAGATTTATGGAGAAACCAAGGTCAACTTTGGGGCACTACAGGTCAACGGTGGGGAAATCAAGACCAAATATTTGGAAACCAAGGACAACGACTCTGGCACCACGATCGCCTTCCCAGAACTCAAGGTCAACAAAGTAAGGTTTAATTTCAAGATCCCATTTACAAAAAACACCCCCCCCCCCCAAAAAAAAAGAAAAAAAAAGGGGGTTAACATTTGTCTAATTGGATATCAAAGGAGTTGGTTAGAGAGTGGGTCTGCTAATTTTTGTAACAGCTGTACATCGAGATTACCAAGTTCGAGATAACGCAGTTTTACTGTATTAAGTTTTGCTGAAATTAGTGCATTAGTATTTTGCGAAATTGACCCCAATGTGGGCTTCTAAAAAACTGTATTCAGCGACTTTTATCAAAGGATATGGTTTACAGCGATTTTTTGAGAATTAGACGCATTTATTTTTATTTTATAATCTAAACAAGCATCGACGTATATAGAACTAGATACTTATATTATTTCAATTAGCAAGTTTATTTCTACAGGAATCTAATAATTTATCCGTTGCATTTCAGATTCCTACCGACCCCGTTACTAACAGTTTTGGAAAAAATCTGAAATAATGTTGGGGATGAAATCCATGAGTAATATACAGCAAACAAGCTTTAAGGATGGATGACCGTATAATGAAATATAACACATTCATACACATATAGACCTTTCATCAAATTGATTTATAGAATGTACGTATAATTATAATGTTTAATATGTATACTGTAGGCCTTTATTAAATCTTTTATGATTGTATTTATAGTGCAATGCTTTACAATTATTATTATAATTATTATTGTTATATTTTGAAATAAAACAGTGCAATATTCACTTTATAAATTCAGATTTGTTTTTTCATTATATAGATAATGCATTTGACCAAACTTTATTGTAAATTAGAAACGTCGAAAATGAAATGAAATGGAAATTAATGTCCAGCTGTTCTGCCCCGAATGGGCTATACAGTGTGCTATGATCTACTCTTATATCGAATTCCAATTGCCAAGGGACATTTTACGTGCATGTCAATGTGTAAACGGGGCCTCGGTGTTTTGTTCCTTCGGAACGACTATGTACTGGCCAAGCCTCCCGCTCTGCACCACCGAGGAGAGGGAACACAGCGGAAAATCGAGATGAACTTTCTCGACCCACATCGGGAAATTCAGTGAGACGTTTAAAGATTGGTATTATTATCTAATTAGATACATCAGTCTCACCTTTACTAATATACTGGAAAATATTGCATAATTATTATTAATTTATTGAACTTAGAAGCATATACTATGCTTGCGTGATATAAATTAGACTGCAATTGGAGTAATTGGACCAATGTGTTTCATGGGAAGAATACATTTGATTATAGTATTTAAGCCTTTGTCATGTATACAAGGTGTCGCCAGTGGCGGCGCCAAGGGCGGTCTGCCCTCTCTTTACCCCCCCCCCCCCAATAATTTTAGAAAATAAAAAAAAAAGTATTTGTGATACGTTTCGGTAATCAATACCTTCTACAGTGATTAAATCCCACATCCCCACTCAGTCATAGACTTGCATGTTGTAGAGTCGTGGTGATTTCTTACCAAGCCCATCCTGCTGTAAACCTAATATAAACAATCACACGTGAATCATTTGGGAAGTGCTTTTTACGATCTTCAAAGTTTTTGGGTATATAGGTTCAAAGCGGCAAGAATATGCATTCACTTGATACACTCACTCCGTTCGTTTGACATTTCCCTCTCTATTCGGATAAGCTGGTGATTTGGCGACGAACAGTAGCTGGTCAGCTCTATTTATCTCGACGACCAGTGTCTGAAATGCTGCATTTCCGGCAGTCTATGTCACAAAATATCGTGGCGAAAATATTCATTCACTTTGAGTCACTCACTACGGCCGTCGGATAAAGTAGTGATTTGGCGACAGGCGGTATCTGGTAAGCTCTATTTATCTCGACGATCAATGCCTGAAATACTGCCAGACTGCATTTCCAACCGTCAATTTTTCCAAATTTTCGGGGGCTTCGTTGAGGTTCTCTCATTTGACACTTTCCTATCTGGGGTCGGATAGACTAGTGATCAGCTCTATTTATCTCTACAATCGGTGCCCGAATACTGTCAGACAGCATTTCCGACAGTCTATTTTTAAAATTTTCTTGGGGAGGTCCCCAATACCCCCACAAGGACTCGCTACTTTGGCGCTCACAAGGGGACTTCGTTGAGGTTCGCAAGTCCGTTCGTTTGACATTTTGTTCTCTGGTCGGATAAACTAGTGATCAGGCGACGGACGGTATCTGGTCAGATGTATTTATCACGACGATCGGTGCCTGACTGAATTCTGTCAAACAGCATTTTCCGCAGTCTATTTTTTAAAATTTTCTGTGGAAGGTCTCCCATTTGGCGCTCGTAATAGGGCTTTGTTGCTGTTCGCAAGTTCGTTAGTTTGACACTTTACCTCAACGATCAGTGCATAAAATACTGCCAGGCTGCATTTCCGGCAGCCTGTTTTTCAAAATTGTCTGGAGGAGACATCCCTACCCCTAGTTGAAGCTTGTGCCTTTGCCCCCTTAACCTTGGACTTTGCCCCAGCTTTGCCCCTCCAACCACCGACGGCTGGCGCCGCCACTGGGTGTCGTTACGATCTCACATTTGTACGAGAGAGAGAAATGGGTTTTAACGTCCACTGGACACAAACTGGGTCATTTCGGGACGAACATATGGTTCAATTTTATTTCAATAATTCGCTTGCGCATAGGGGTCTTTAGCAGTTGGAGGAAACCGGAGGGCCAAGAGAAAACCCAAGAGGTTGGACAGGCGACCCTACTCCTTGTCATGTACAACCAGGCAATCGAAACCACGCCAGTTGACTCAATGACATACCTTATGATACAACGTGCACGCGCTAACCATTCGGCCATCCAACCTCCCACATTTGTACGAGAAAAGCGTTGCCTGGTACTTGAGGCGAATACCTGAAAACTCATCCCGAAGACAACTCATCCCAATACAAGACAACTCATCCCAAGTTAGAAGACAACTCATCCCAAGATAGAAGACAACTCATCCCCAGACAAAAGACAACTCATCCCAACTTAAAAACAAAACACTCATCCCAAAATAGTTTTGTTTGGTTTAAAGGAGCTAAATCGCTAATATTTGAGACCTAGAAATTGATACAAATGGTTCGCAACGCGTATAATAATGTAATATGAATGCATATAACTGATTTACATTCAATAGTTTCTGTTTTTACTCTTAATTTCTTATCAGTTATGTTCGGCGAAACGTCAGAAGTTTCAATCGAATGACAATCTCTGGCGTCTGGTTAAACCAGTCTACACCGATCGTATTTATTGCGCATGCTCTCCAGATACGAATTTTATTTGTCATTTTTATTTATTATATTAATCAGTAGTATAAGAATTTATTACATCAACAATTTATAAAATAATCAGTAATATAAGAATTTTGATCTGGGTTGGTAGCTGTGCTACCTCCTTATACCACAATGTTAGTAAAAGGTAAAATATATATCTTCAGGAACTACTCACGTTCTACAACCCAAAACGCCAACTTCGATCACAAAATTTGATGCTTTTTACAGTTCCACAATTTTACTCCAAGACATATGGGATGCGATCATTCCAATATGCTACAGCCACCTAATGGAATGAGTTACCTTTTGACATTAAATCATCTTCAAGTCTCAACATATTCAAAACTAAATTGAAAACTTTTCTTTTTCAAATCTGCTATTAGTATTGAACAACCAGCGCACAGAGCACTATCAGTAGTGAATGTCAGCGCGATATAAATGCATATATTATTATTATTATTATTTTCCTTTTTTTGTTTTCTGATTGATTCTGGTATGCCAACCTTCAAGATTGTTATTGTCCTTAGGTTCTCCTAAAAACACTCCAGGTCGGAATGGTCCATATACTGCTTGTCATCCTATTGTCAGATATGTAGCGCATTACAGCTTCTATAGGGTATGTGGCGGCTTTCTCCTCTAATTTATCGAAAGTAGAAACAATAGTAGTACCTCTGTCACTGCCTCTCTTTATCTCGATTGTATTTAAATCGGGGAGTGGGGGGGGGGGTAAGGTTGTTCGGTGGTCAGTACATACTGTTCCGAGTTTGTTTCTTTCCATCCATAAGCATACTGATATTACAAAATATTATAATAACCCTGTCCTATATACAAACCAGTACAAACGCAAAAAAAAGTTAGCAATGTGGTAGACCTATCTTGTTTTAGAAATGATAAAAATACCCAGGATAACGATTGCAACTTCTAGTGACGGGATGTCAGTTTCAAGAAAACCCCAAAACTTGACACAAGTTTTCTTTTTACAGAAATACAAGATAATAAATCATTTATTTCTTTACTTTTTAACCATTTTTTAAATTAGTAAACCCCCAGATGTTTATTATATTGTTTTATCTGTCGTCATATCCAGCTGAACACTATCAGTCATGTCATCTGCGTCACCAAACTTCCTTTCTTATTACTTATTACAAAAACGGGATGTGACCCCTGCATAGACATCTGAACAACAATGTCAGATAATTCTATAATATAGCACCGTAATCGTTAATAATTAAGTAAATGTTAACATCTGACATTCTTTTCGTTTTTCTCAAAATAGTAACCTCAAAAATAATCGATGGGCCTCTCTGAATTTCGAAGATCGTAACATACGTCGACTTTGAATCGTCCTTATTACTAGTCAGATCATCCCAGGAAGAGGGCCGCATTTAGCTTATGGAGATTCCGAAGCACGATAGAATGTGCCAGACCCCATATTTATAGATCTCAAATAGTCAGTCAACGACAGAGCAATCATTGCGAACGTGAATTAAAGAATTTAACAACCATTCATATCTGGAAACAAACACTGCAATTTGCAAAGATCTCCCTTTAGGGTTATTTATTCAGAAACCCACGTTAGCCACTCGAATTTTCAAAATGGCCGTCATTTTCTAAGATGGTTGAATTTTTCGGCTTTTCTTTCAGCGACTTCCGAAGCACGATAGAATGATGTGCCAGACCCCATATTTATAGATCTCAAATAGTCAGTCAACGACAGAGCAATCATTGCGAACGTGAATTAAAGAATTTAACAACCATTCATATCTGGAAACAAACACTGCAATTTGCAAAGATCTCCCTTTAGGGTTATTTATTCAGAAACCCACGTTAGCCACTCGAATTTTCAAAATGGCCGTCATTTTCTAAGATGGTTGAATTTTTCGGCTTTTCTTTCAGCGACTTATACCTACTGTGCCGATTGAGAGGATTTGACGCGTTCGGTTTTGGTCTGCATCAGATCGCAACTTCTTAGTTAATGGTCCTTGCCGTTTACGCAAAATGTGAATGTTCCTAAGGACCATTAAAGAGGAACAATTTGGTGTGAATTTTTCGCAAAAATGATATTTCATTGCTTGAAAGTCGACTATCTAAAAACTGACCGATATCTTGGACTTTTGTATAGCTAATGGTTTTTTGTTCAAAAGAGTAGTCCCAAAGAAGTTGTTCCAGTTTTGATATGTGTATCCACATAATTGAAAACTATTTCAGAGCTATTAAAAACAGACCATAATTATTTTCGAGTAAATGGAAACAGATCAAAGTTATTTCACTGTATATAAAAAGGGTGTCAGGTCCTATCTATAGACCAATTTCCTG